GAGACACCCTAGTATTATTTTGAATTATTATTAATGAATTTTTCCTTAAGTTAATTTGAAGTAGTTCTAATTCTTACCAGCTTGTAGGAGCTGGAACTAAATATGTGTCTGATTTTAAGTTAAGCTTCTGTAACCATTGGGCTTTTCTGTTGATGAATTATTAGATATTAAGCATTAAATATAGATTATTTTCTTCAATGTCTCTAAATTCTATACAGCAGGCCATATTATCCTCTTTGTATAGATGAATAAACTGAGGTTTAGGAAGTTTTCCTCACTCACCCTGAGTTAGACAACTATTCAGAAGTGACTTCCATTAACTGGATTCCATTTCTTAAACAGTTTAACCTCAGGCCCATGTCTTTAATTACTATTTAATAAGATTAGGTTGCTAGTGAGAAACCTGAGATAAAGTGTACAAAATACTGCTTTGCCTAATAATTTCCAATTTTCCAGAAAAGGAAGTAAATATGGCTATGACTTAGGAGTGGGGATATGAGGAGAGAGTGGCTGGTGTTTAGAGAAGCCTGGTATCAAAATGTATCTTCTCAGGTCAGATTCTATAATTCTAAAAATTGGAGACTTCATAAAGTTGTTAAAGAAAGGAAATTATATAAGGGTTAGTCATTTAGAAGTGAGGTCTGTGCATCATCTGGCTGGTATTTACTAGTGCCAGAGGTCAAAAGCTACCACTTCAAGCATTAGTGGATTCTCTCTCAATGATTTCTCCCAGGCTGCAGGACCTTACAATTCTTTTCAAGTCTAGGAGTGTTGCCTACACAAGAATTTTTAATCACAAACATTCAGTTGGCCACAAACACATTCCTGCACAATTCCTTCATTGGTGTCTTCTTAAGAGTGAACTGAACTGTTAACTTACTTTTAAACAAAACTGAATAGTTGAAATGTCTGACTGCTTCCTATCAGTTTAAAAAAATATGAATTTGAACAACAGCTGCAACTTGTTTTAGTAGGATTAAGTTTTACCCAAAGAAGGACAAAAAAAACAAAAAAAAAAATGTTCTCAAACAGAGGAAAAACAT